AAAGCTAGAAACAGTCAAAGTACCACCAAAGGATCGAAAAGGCTCATTTTATTACGACATGTACAGTTAAGGGATGAACCTTTGAAAAGCGTATTTCCCGGTGAATTCGCCGTATGCCAGGGCCGAATTCTTGGCTTGCCGATCGATTGCCGATTACTTCAGAGTATATGTCAATGTAGAAAATAGTTCAAGGACTGTTAATGTTCGACAATATTCATATTCATGGTATTGAACTGGAACTAGCCTGCAGTCGAGGCTCATGCGGGAAAATATTTTCACGTGCAAACATTTTTAATAAGACTCCCCCGCATGAGCCTCGACTGTAAGCTAGTTCCACGCATAATCGATGCTTATTTTCAAAAGTTATTATATGAACCGATCTTGAATTGTTTTGTCCAGTTCGAGTCCAGTGTATTGCGCAAAGTTGAAAGGGAAAGGCGTTGAAGAGGCGGACGGATGTTATTTTCTTAAAAACATATTTAAGCACTGTTTTTTTGAAAATGCACTTTTCGCCAGATTCTCCTTTACTTCAAAATACTGGAGAAGGTATCGAGACCTTGGTGAACACAAATTAATCGAAATTAAACAGACCACAACATTTATACTGACCTTGGTTTATTATAGGAATCCCGGCGCGATTCGGTAATCTCAAAATGATGCCTTTCCAATGAACGTGATATGACTTTGACTGAAACCTAGAGCGCTTAAATCTAGGAATAAAACACCAATTTTCAGTTTAGACACTGATTTACATACGCACATGGTTCAAAAAAGCCAAATTATATCGATGGACAAGTACAAATCCTTGGAAGCTGATTCGAAGTGCACAAGGATTTTGGAATTGCTGCGAACAAATCGATAACAAAAGACATCAAAATAGTTTTTCTTTTTTCACGACATGAGTCCATCGCTATGATGGATAGGACAAATTGGCCAGTTCAGAAAAAGATAATAACAATAACAACAAAAATTTATCCACCTCAGAATCAACCAAGACAGTCACAACAAATTAATGAAAGCAATAAATGTGGTACCCATATTAAGTAATGTTCCACATAAGAACAATAGCAAACTTCATTGTTCCGTGGCATTAATTGGCTCTTTCCCACATAAAATATCTTTGATTTCAAGAATAGGGAAGGAGCTCGTTACAAAAACAAAATCCATTTGCATCAAATAGATTTTAGGTAATGTTCGTGCTTAAACAATCAGAATAGCAAAAGACAATAGATATTAAATTTGCCATATACAATATCTTTTAAAAATTGTATGTTGTGCGATTGGGTCTCAAATATACTTGAAACCTTAAAAAAAATTAGACAAAATGCAACTTGAACCATAACTTTTTAGCGGTTTTTTGAGTCTAGGCCAATGAGATCACTAGTTGTTAAAATGAAAAAAGTTGACATTCCATCGTGCATTGCCTTTCAGTGCTATCCTTGTTGTACGGATCATTACTTAAACCCAAAGTTCTGGTTAACATCTTTTTTTAAATAAAGGATTCTAATCCTTTACTAATCACTGAGAATAAAGGATTAGAGAGTTTTTATAGCTGCTATACTGATACTAATAGTGTGGCAGGCGTAAACCAGCACCGATTTGCTCTTTCATGATCCATTTAGCTATAATCGTCTGTTTTTTATTTCAATATTGTATTAAACCGGTCTGAACGTAACTTTAAAGCTCTGATCAAATAGGTGCCATAAAATACATTCAAATCGTCACCTTGTTCTTTCTTGCGATCTGCCACGCCTCCTTGGTGATCGTGACAGGTGTTGAGAACTGAAAGAGATGTGCCAACAAAAATGTAGATGAGAAATCAATTGTTCATTATTGCTTTGAGGAACTTCATATGTTTAAATCAAACTAGTAAACCGAACGGTGTAACAAGTTAAAATCATAGTATAAAAGCAAAGATAGATACAACATAGGAAGAAATGTATAGTTATACTGTATTTCGGCTTGCCAAACCAACCTTCTTCAGGTGAGATGTTTTTTTTTAATAAAGGTGACAATTTTACGTAACAACGGAAGTACGTGGGGCTCCACTTAGAAAAATAGCAATGATAGACAAATAAAAGTAACTGATAACAAAAAATA